TTTCAATGTGATATCATTTTGTTTTCTTCAAGGCCAGCTTCGAGGTTCTGTCTTCTGACTATTTGGATGCTGTTTATGACTTCACTATCACCTATAGCATGGCAAACGAGAATCATTTTCCTCGCAGACCAGCTCCAACTATGTCTGGTATGTGCTGCATAGCTGTATAGCCCATTGGTAACTTCTTTGAGTTCCACCCTTGAAGCCTAGCATGTTATGATATGGAATTATTAGTGTTAGACAGTTGGTGAATTCTCTTATAAATGCCTAATACCATAACAAGGTTAGCCTTAAAGGGAATGTGTGTTTTCTCCTTTAGTTTTCCTTATTTCAAAAGGACAACAAGTCCTTTTGAGTTCTTTTTTGAAGCCTGCTATGATATCAAATTATTTGTGTTAATCATTTAGTGAATTATCTGATAAATGTCCATTATCAAACAGGGTTGGCCCTAAAATGTGTTTTCTCCTTTAGATTTCCTTATTTCAAAAGGACAACAAGTCCATGTATACTGCCGAAGGCATGAAGCTAGAGATCTTCCCAAGGTTTGTTTGCAATATGTTCATATATCATGGTTCATTCAGTTGATTTTATTTAAAATGGCTTTGTAAAAGATATCACTGTTTTCTCTGATGTTGCATTCTCAATTACAAGCAGAGTCCACACAGAAATGAAATATCAAATCCTGCATTTGGATGTCTCTGTGGTAAGAGTTAATTTTAAAACTGTTGTCTTGCAGGATAGTGAAGGAAGAAAATCCTGGATCCACCAAACCTTTGCAGAGAAAGACAGGTAAGCTTTTAATGACTTTCATTTTGTTATTTTCTAATGATGAGAAAAGAGAGCAGTTTGAGGAGAATGTTAAAATATAGTTTTAAAAAAAAATTGATGAATTTATCTATACTCGAAAGATGGCAATCTAAGTCATTGCAGAGAAAGCAATCTGAAGAGAGTCAGGTTTTGACAGGGTTCAAAACCCATGACTCCCATTTATTACTTTGGTGCTACTACCAACTGATTTTGTTATTTAATTATTAGTAAGAGGACTAGCATCTAATTTCTCCTTACAATATCACCCCTGAATCACACATTAAGGTCATGAGAATAAAGGAAATGATCACCAACTAAAGAAGCTTTTGACTGTTAAACCAGTTCTCCTTGTCAGCACCTGAGGAAATGTATAAAGAACAGTATGGAGAATATGTATACTGATCTTGGGGTGTTAAGGGTTAACTCGTAGGAGTGACTATCGATACCATCTAATTTCTCCTTACATTATCACACCAGAGTCAAACATTTAAAGTCATGAGAAAAAAGGAAAAGATCACCAACCAAACAAGCTCTTGATTGTTAAATAAATTCTCGTTATCAACACCTTTGGAAATATATAGAAATCAGCATGGAGATTGTGCATACTGATGCCAGGGTGAGTGGAAACAAGCAAACTTCCTGAGTGGTGGGAAGAGATCAAGGCATGGTTGTTTTTTATTTTGCTCCTGATTGGTTGAGGGAATAGCATGAGTTTTGGGAACAATTACAAAGCAAAGTAATGTAAAACCTGGGCCATATAAGATCATTTCACCACTGGATTGCAAATTGCTCCAAGCAATGCATTTTGGGGTATGATATGTTTTTAGAGGTGGTAGGGTGAATAATTTCAATTAATTGAATGTAGCGTCCACTTGTAATGTGTGTGTGTTTTTTGTTTTTGTTTTTGTCTTTCCAGAATTTTGAATAAATTTTACCAAGAAGATGGAAAAATGCCTGGGGTTCCACGGAGGAGGAGGTTACCATGGACAAGAACTTTCCCATATTTTGTGTTTTGGATGGCAACACTTTTGCCATTTGTAATGACAAAATGGGGGCGATCAGCTTACTGGAAGATGTGGCTTGTCACAAGCTTTGGATCAGTATCTTATATGATGTTCTTGTTTGGGAAAGTTCAGCGGTGAAATATGAAGACAACACATGTTTGCACATTGAGAAAACCTGATACAAGTGTCCAGGTTTCATCAGCCATATAGCAAGTGCTAGTCTCCGAAATCTGTTTTTACAGGGTTCATACAGTCCTGGGAAAACCTGGAAATTCTTGGACTTCTGTGAAAGAGTTTTCAAAGACCTGAAAGTCTTCTAAAAAGATTATCAGTCCTGGAAAGACCTAAAATGTAGAATTTGGTATTAAATCAAGATGGTTGATATTTAACATGTACATTTTTCTTTATCCCCATCAGCTGTCATCTTGATATTGCATGGAGAAATTTAGTCAATCTTGAGAATTTAAGGGTTAATGGAATCTCTGGAGCCCTGGAAAAAACATTGTCAGCCTTGGAAAATTGTTTCTGAAAATAGGTAGATAGCTTGTTTTCAGGGTGGATATTTCCATTTGACCCCATCCTATCACAGCATGCTGACCCAGCCGCCTTGCAGTTCTCTTTGTTTTGAAGCCAGTGAACCTTTCACCAGTCAGGGCAGAAAGTTTAAATCATCAGTGAAGTCAATGGGCAGAATCTTTCGAAGCATTTTATGTTTGATGAAGTATTCTACTGTTTTTTGGCTTACATTAAGTTGCAAAACATCTCAATTCCATAATAACTGTAAATGTACCAATGGATGTTAGAATTTTCACTATCAAATACCATTTTCCCCTTCCTCTCTAAAAAAAATTCTAAGTGCAAAAAAACTGTATTTGAATTAGAAGTTTATTAACAATCCAAGAAAGTGATATATGTTCAAAATGCTTATACAACTTTTTAACTGCTAAATTTATGTATATGCATGTAACAATTTTAAAAACAAATGATTGCACTGTACATAACATGCAGTTATCAGCAAAAAACAGTAGTATTAACAAGTTAACAACAATGAGAATGATGGGAACTATGCCTAAGTTCTTAAAGTATGGTGCAATGATTGCTATTGTACATGTGCTGGGTATAAGTGTAGAGTTCCTTAAGTTTTCACCTGCTGTGTCTCCTTTAGAGTGCCTTGGAATGCGTTTGAATTGAGTGTTGTAAAAACAAAACTAAAGTAATAAAAAAGCAAATATGAACAAAAGTGAAAAATTAACAAGAAGCAGATCACAACTCGAAGTAAAAAAGAAGTAAATGGCCTCAAGTGTAGGAAAAAATACACAAGAAAATTACAGCTATTGAGTTCAACTAGACAGTTGAAGATGAAGAATTTTTGCATTTGCTTTGGCCGTCAGATGGAGTTGTGAGTTACATTTGTCCTCAGTTTTCCTTTCCTTTGCCATTTTCTTGTGAAAGCTGTGTTCCTACTTTACTTGGCACAACATCTTCAGTCACTATAGATCTGAAATGTAAGGAAATAAAGTAAATCTTGTGTAGAATGAGAACCACAACCCTTTAACCCCTAAACTCCCAAGATTTCATGAGTAATTCTCCTTACTGTCTGCCATACAATATTTATGTGATGATAGTTTGGAGAATTTGGAATTGGATCAACCAATAATACTCTAATTGATATTTTTCTTTATTCTTATTACTTGTCTGCTTGATATTGTACTGATAATGGAAGGAGAAATTCTGTCTTGGTCACTAGTGAGACTTGAAGGGTTAACCCCAAGGAGTTCTAAATTTCTCCCAATTAGAATCAGACATTAAGGTCACAAGAATAAAGGAAATGATTGCAAACTCCTGATTATTAAACAGATTATCTTTGTATCTAAGTACCATAGGAAATGTATAAAGAACAGTAAGGAGAACTTACAGATGTTAGGATGGAAAAGGTTAACAAAAGCTGCAAACTAAACAAAGCTAAGTTTGTATGTTAGAAAGAAACTACTCAAGTGTCAAATACACTTGGGACAACTCACATTAACCCTTTAGTTTGCATAAGTGACCAAGACAATTTCTCCTTACAATATTAGTGACAATATCGAGCAGACAAGTGATGAGAATAAAGAAAAATATCACTCGAAGGATTATTAGTTGATCCGATACCAAATTCTCAAAACTAACATCAGGAGAACTGTATTGCAGACAGTAAGGAGAATTACCAATGAGATCTTGGGAGTTAAAAGGTTAATAGGGGACATTGTAGTTACATTGACATCAAACATAACACATTTACTAAAAATATATGAAAAAAGTGATTTTCAATTAGGAAGTCACCTCACAGAAATGAGTCTTATTGCTGAAATTTCAAAAGATATAAAAAGATTTCTCTAAAAACAAATTTAGAATACTATCTGTAAACTGACATATGAATGATAAACTTGGTTATTGTAAAATGCGGCATGATTAGTCTGTGTCTAAGTGATCAATTATTTAATTCTTATATTAAAGACCTACTAACCACTGACAAATCAAAGTTTTGCCAAACCTTTACTACCAGTAATAAGTATTGTGTTGGTCACAATTAATTTAACATTTGCATCTTAATAGTTGGAAGGACAGCACTAGTTCCCTAAATAATTCACACAGAGAAATAAAACAGAAACGATATCAGACCATTAATGACAATAAATCTAAAACTGCTCTATCAAAGACAAAACGCAAGAACAAATCAACCCCACTTCTGAAGGGGGGGAGGCTATCCAGAATCCAGGGAGAGGGTGCGGGGAGGGTCTGTACTCACTTCAAGCGAAACATACAACGACATTCAATACCAATTTTATATAGGTTGAAAATCCCTTACCAGGGCGGTAAGGTGGTCAAGGCTGTAGATAACTACTGAATAGATGCTTCTTCTAACCTAGTAGCTACAGAGTCTGTATCGCTCGTATCTCCAGCCTGTTCAGCAGATTCCTCTGAGGTCTGTGTGGTGTCATTGGTTGCCAGTTCTGTTGAGGACTGCTCACTTTCGGGTTGGTTTTCAGTGTTACCTCCTTTATCAGTTGCTATGGGGTCTAAAGTTGGAGTAGGAGCGGTTGGATTTAATCTCGATGTGGCTGGAATGCGGATTCCAGCGACACCTTTGCTCTCGACATCCTTCTTATCTCGTTTGATTCTTCGCCTTCTACCAGGTTCATTCTTACGTGTTTGAAACATATTTTCAAAGTCGATTACATACAGAAACCCAGCGATTAGTAAAGTACAAGATCTCTGTCCACTCTTAAAAGATTTTTCTAATTCAGGAGATGTTTTCTCGTCATAAGACCACCATCCATTACGACCCTCGTAATACCAAACAAACTCGTCCGCGTCATTTTCGTCGCAAGATTTCTCTTTCGATTTCGCAGCTTTTTCCTCCTTATTAACTTCTTCTACAACTTTGATAAGCGTTGGATTCTCCAGGTAGTCTACGCTGAGAGAATGACGGCATAGAGCGCACCGTTTACTCCGCAAAATGACTCCTTTGATGCACAAGAAGCAGAAAATGTGTCCGCATGGAAGTTTTACAGGATAAAAACAAGACTGTAAACAAACTGAACAATCAGGGTTGTGATCCATCTCTTCGATCGTTTGAATCACTACATCTTCGGAAAAACCTAAAAACAATCAAAATTTTATTACATTTTTGAGTTGCAGGAGTCATTTATCAAACGTTCTGTTTAAAGGCAATCATTACAGAAAGCAGTTTGTTTTCAAAAATATGGTGGCCACTTTGTGAGCAGCTGCCTCGCACGCGGAATAATCGAACTCAGTTGAAAAGTAAAATCACCTACCCTCGGTCGATGGCTTTTCTGTCTCCTCTAATAAAATTGAAGATTCTGTGCGGTTTTCAGCCGAATTAACGGTCGCTTCAGCCATGAGGATTCAGAGTAATTTTGATATTGAGTCTATGCTACTTTTCACGATGCTGAGAGTGGATGTTCGTGCCCAGTCGACGCATCATGTCGCTTTTGCAGCTGTCACGCAGAAGATGCACGCAATGTTAGAACATAACGCAATCCGACACGTCGCGTATATACGTAACGCAACATTGAGATTTTAAAGTTTATGTTCTCTTGGTTGATGATAAGCATGCCCGTTAAAGAAATTTTAGGAATCTTTTTGCTTCTGTTAAGAGGTGATTTGCGAAACTAACCCAACTCTCCTCTGATCCCTACTTCAATGGAATTTTGAGTGTTTTTTTTTACCATTTTAATATCATAGTTTTATCCAACTGAAAGATACCATAGTTTCTCGAATAAGTACCCAAGCACCTATCTAAAATTTTGGCTAAATTGATGGGCACTAATTGGAAGGAAGGTGCTTAAGCAAGGGGGTTGCTTTTCAAGAAACTATTCTTCTGTACTGATTCGGCTGTGAGATGAAGCATGACAAGTTAAAAATTAAGTGGTAATAAATATAGGTTTTCCTTGTACCTATATTATTTATAGAAGTAATGGGGCTGCTTATTCGATAGGGGCGCTAGTTTGATATTCAGGCGTAGAGGTTGGACGCCTTTTCGGGGGAGGGCAGTTTTCAAAGCGTGGGCGCTTATTCGAGGAAATAAAATACGGCATTTATTCTTTATAAGTTTCCTTCCCATCTTCCTCAAATGAATTAAGTTCGCATAGCACCTGGAAATATTTCATGGAAAAAGATGAGACACTCGAGACATTATTCAGTGCGAGCCAAAAGTAGCTATTTGAAAGTTGACACAACCTTTCTCTTCCACTTTTCTCAAAGTGACTGAAATTATACCTTGGCAAAGCCGTGAAGTCTGGTTCATTCTTAAATTTATCATTTACTTATGTTTATGTAACTATTTGTTTAAATCGTTACTTTTTATGCTTAAATAAAGCCATGAAGTGCCTTTGTGACCATTTATTTTTTAGACAAAACTTTATTCCGTTCTGCCGGACCAATAGACCGCGTTTCCTCGAATAAGCGCCCACGCTCCCATTGAAGGGCCTTCCCAGCCCCGAGGAATAAACTTCCCCTCCTCCTTCACTTTCTAAATAGTAGGGATACAATGAAACCTGCTTCTATTGTCACTTTAGTTATAAATTTGTAAGCTTTAACTACAGCGGAATCAATAAAGGTTAAAAGTTCCTTCATAAGCGCCCTCCTCGATTAACTGCCCTCCTTCCAATAAGCGCCCCTTCCTTTAGCAGAAATTTTAAATAAGCACTCCGGGCGCTTATTCGAGGAAATATGGGATTTCATTTGAAGAAAAAAGATGGGAAGAGCATAATATATTTATAGCACAGCACTGACTGCAGCTGTAAAATGATTAAATGAAAATGCTGACGATAAACAAACTTGCTTTAACATAATAGCCTTTCTTTCAAATTTCTAGTTAATCTTGTTTGGCAATCGTTATTTAGCTGCAAGAAAACAGTGTCAGCGACAACGCTAGATTTATGACGTTTGTTGAAACAGGTTCTGTTTTCAATTTTACGCGTTTCACCAACAGTTTGCGTCGTAAAATGGAAAAAAAAAAAAACGTTAGGCAAATGTAACGACGCAAGAACTAGACTTCCTGTTGTTCTTGATGTAACCGATCCCTTTAGAATGGTGGATCGCACCTGCGAACCGCATGCCTGTTTCCCATTTCCACTGCACGATTATCTTGCTGCCTGCGCCATTAGGTTTCATGATTTCGCCTTCGTTTGGCCTTACTTTCGCTTTGCACGATGTGGTACAGGTGAATTGTAAATATTCAAATTCCGTCAAAACTTTGAAACCATACAAGCTGTTTTGATTAAAGGCGCTTAAACGCAATAAAGCCAGTTATTTTTTTGTGGCAGATTATGGAGTGGATATTAGATGAATATGCAAAAACATCAAGTACTTATCGCCAACAAAAACAGCCGCCCCATTTGACAGTACTCTTATTACATGATAAATTATCATGTCAACATGACATCATTCACGACGACAGTCGATATACGAAAATCCGAACGCCAGTCAAAAGAAGTATTATCCTTTTATGTTGCAAAAGGGTTTAAGTTACTGCAACAAAGTTTTCGCGTCGCTTGCACGAATCTTCGTTTGAGCAACTTTGCGGGATCGATCTTTTAAGTCCTCGTTTCAAATTCCGTACAATCGGTTTTTCTTCATCATTCTCTATTGCTCCGAATTAAGTTTTCAATTTGCAGTGTACTCAATCATTTGAAATGATAAATCCTGTTTTATCTGATGTTAAGGAACTGTGAAAACAAGGTAGATAGAAAAAACGCGTAAAGGTTGTCATCGCGCGCGTTGTCGATGCTCGAGTCCTCGTTGCTCGCACGCTGACCACTTCGGTTCATATACTCTGCGGCATTACAAGAAATTCTCACGAAGCGTTAGCAGCTTTTCACAAAGGAAACGGCACAGCTGGGAAAAATAGCTGTTAAAATGCTTTAGTTTTTCGCCGCCCGTCGCTTGGGACTTAAGGTGAATCGTGGTGTTGTTTAAATCAATAACATTTTTCGTTCGATAGCGTGGTTTAGTAAAATGTCACTTCTACAGACGCTGTGCTGTGGTTGGCAGACTTTCCACCAAAAGCAGATGAGTTAAACGATCCCCAGCGTGTTGTATGTTCACTTCGAGCGCAAATGGATATCAACACCCATGGAAATGGAAAAATCATTGAACTCCAGTCGAAATTTTAAACTTCCACCGATTCAAGGCGCTGTTCCGGCGGCGAGTATTCTTCGGCAACCACCAAGGCCAACTTGGCAACAAGATCAAGCGCGAGCCAATGCGGTTGCCTTGCCGAATCATGGCGCATCAGTTAAACCACGAGCAGTAATTCACATCCCGAAGGATCCATTCCCAGGACGATACAGAAGTCCTCATATTAGTCACAACATATCGAGTGTATCGACACAGAGACTCGCTTCAAATGCAGCGATCGACGAGAAATACGGCGATTCGAAGTTAGATTTTGCACCGCGCCGACATCAGCTTCCGCAGTCGTACTCTGTTCTACCTCCGATTCAGAAACTCAAAGAGCCAGTCGATAGAGGAAGGCAGGTAACTGCGGCACAAGACAGAACTTCTCGCGGGGAAAAAGAGAACAACAATTTAAATGTTACTAATAAACCAATTGGGGATAATAGCTCGCAAAGTGATAATCAAAAAAGCGATGACCCGCGAAAAGTTGGCAACAGTAATGGCAAAAACGGCGACAAAAATTGTTCCCGCGTTGAAGCGGGAAAAGACTCGTCTTCCAGAAAGAAACAGAAAACAGACAATCAGGATAACGAGACTGGAGAAAGAAAACAGAGCCCTACGACGCTGTTGTTTTTAAAGGGAAAACGTAAAGGTCGAAGGGTCGGCGTTTGTGTGGAAAATGAACCGGCTTTAATCAACATAACTGAACAGCTAAAAGAAATCTTTCTTCGCAGAAATATGGAAGAAATGTACCTAATTTAGCAGTGTGCACTTGACAACCGAGTTTCAAATGGGCAGGTGTAAGTTTAATTTCGTGAAAGCTGTATTTGTTTACAGTTTAACGCAGCAGTGAGGACAGGATCTAAATTCACTCTAAGAGTAGTGAAAATCGGTCGAGAAAAACATCCTACCGGTCACGTTTCTTGCATCATAGGCCGTGTGAAACGTGAAAGTTTTCAAAGCCTTTGCTTCGTCGCATCTCGGTTATTTTCTGTCTTTCACACTGATTAAAAAGTCAAAAGCTTGGGATTACCATAACAACTGATGAAAATTTCGACAATTTTGAGTCTCCTTTGCCAGCTTATTTATTACGTTTTTCCATCTGTGGGTTCGCTCTCTGGTCATGAATTGAAAAAAGGTTCGAGGATTTTCCTTGATGATGGAAAAACTATGCAAAACAAATTGAAGCGATTACAAATCGTACTCAAAGAAGGAAAAGAACATTTCCTATTTAAATAGATCCAATAACATTTTACCGCTTACATATGGTTTTACTTCTCTTAACTTACCAAGCAAATAGACGAAATCTATGCCGGTTGAAGCGTTGAAATAGATTGACACTGAATTAATCTTTTTTGGTTAAAGGCGCTTTATTGAAGGAAAAATGTCTTAGGGAAAGGTGAATTAGTGCTATAATGACACCGAACTTGGCTAAATGTTACTTGAAACGATGAAGCTTTCGGACTCAAATATAACTCAGATATAAAAGAAGTATCACGTCTGCAAGACTAAAAGCTTAGTCATATTTATTCATAGAATTGCGACAAACTTTTGGAAACATTTGCAAATAGACTATTTAAACCTGTGAATTCGCTTCCGAAGATTAACTTCAATTGGTTTCCATTTTAAAATTTTTGTAACATAAAACTTTTAATGTTTTTAAGAATCCATGATGTTAATATGTAAATAAAATGTGAACCTCAACTTCTCTGGTTCCCATGGCAGTCGAAATTCTGATTAACAGCGTTCCTGAGAATTAGAAAGAATTCTTAGCCTTTCCGGTAAATGGGGTAACTGTCTATCGTCTGAGGACTGATGTGAAAAATTTCACCCTGGTTGGCGAGCTCCGGTTTTGATCTTCACTTTAATCTTTTACAGATGATGGAAAAAGATTTGAAGAACATGTTATTCTACAAGTTTATAAAAGCACTAGGTCACTTCTTGACCAAAAAAAAAACCTATTTTAGCCTAAAATTTCGAATAGGTACCGATTTTTCTGTAATCGTTTGAAATGAAAGCTTGAGAGTAATGAAATGTCGCAAATATGATTAAATGCATCATTTTCACAACGAATGGCTAATACCAAAATCTGTTATCTAGCAACAGAGACAATTCTACTTACAAGAGCTAAAATAACCCTATTCTTCAGTAAAAACCAATTTATGGAACCTCAAAAGATATGAAATAAAAATGTCTAACAGACTTACACGAGGGTTGTTACCCCATAGCAGTGAATGTCGGTGATAGCGAAAAATAGTAGAAAAGAATATTGGTGAAAC